GAGTGATGAGAAGTGGTCTGGGTGAGCCGGGTGAGCCGGGTGAGCAGGAGCGGGACCGTCCCCTCCAGGCGACCAGCAGTGAGGAAGTCAAAGCGGCTTTTGTGCGGCTGCTGTCGACTGCGTGTTTGGTAATTATCCCCCTCTATATGAGCACAGACCAGGCTTTCCAGGAGAGGTCCCAACCTAACCGGCCCACGGAAGAGTGCACAACACACCGTCAACAAAGATTAACTTCTCACAGTGCTGCAGAGATGCCTGATTGGGGGAGACACTGCAAATACTGAAACCCGCTCTTGTGTGACGTGAGCAGATCTGCAGTCAGACTGTTTCAAACTGTTGCAGAGATTAGATAGTGACACATGTAGAGATGATTTACCTGTAAGAAGGTCAAAACACCTCCATCCTTCTCCTACTTATCTCCAGTGGTGGAGGAAACATTCAGGTCCTTTTTAAAAGGGGAACTTCAGTGTTGTTCAACCTGGTACCTATTTTCCCATGTTGTTGTGTAATGACTAATGGGGGATAAACAATTTTCTAAATTGGTCCACTATTAAGCGAGAGTGCATTAACACAGCAGCCGAGAAACGTGTTGCAATGTCATTCTTCTGGGCAATTGTGCTACATCAGTGGATGTTCTCTTAAAGTGCTTGTTTTGCTGAGAGGCTTAGATTGGTGATGACAGTGTCCAACAACATAATGGAGAAGCCCCTTAAGAGAAATGAACATTTTCCTTTACCTTTCACTTGACGTGTCTAGGCCCCGCTTGCACATGACATGACATTATTTTTTTTAACACGGTTGTGTTCAAAGTGAAAGCAACATTAGTATGTTATAACTTTTGGAGGTGAAGTCATTTTTAACAAGTTTATAATCTGTTAGTCTGTTGGGTATGCAGTGGTTTCCAATTGAGGCGGTTGGACCCCCTCTAAAGGGACACAAGACAACTCTCACACGGGACCGTTTGCGTTTATGCACAGTATGCGTATTCAAAAAAGTCTTCCGTTCACATGCATTTGTTTCATTTAACGTGTCTGTTCAAACGAGGCCGCTGGAAACGCTGTAGTACATATGCTGGGACTGTAAGTGGCGCTGTAACTTCCGCCAAAATACACCAAAAGCCGCGAAGAAGAGCAACCGAGCAGCCCCGCTGCAATGTTGCCATGGCTACCCTTCTGTTTAAGCCCCGAAACTGAAACTGAAACTGAAAGAAACCGAATCTGTGGATATTGCATCCCGACCAAGAAGGTCTCCATGGAGAGGACGGCTCAGAAAGAGAGAGATATTCTCTACAAACACCGGGTGAGATCCTCCTTTGTCAATATAATGGATCAATGCATGAAATCTGACTCTGTTTATTTTGTTTAAGGAGTATATTGGGCGTTAACAATTCTGGTTTGCCTTTTATAATATTATTTCATTCAAGAACCCCTTGTGCGTTTAATTAACACAGCTATTTTTGATAGTTGCTACAGCAGTGAGCAGGAGAGGTGGGGAGAGGCGGGGAGAGGCGGGGCTATCGTTATTTTTTCAGGAAATATTCGTATCGAGGTGATTACACGGACTCGGTTGACCCCCCAGAGCGTTTCGTTTGCAAATCTATCCACCTTGGGACCCGTTATTGTTTGTGGGGTCAGTTTCTATCGGCCTCGTGTAAATAATAGGGCTATACGCACGCGAAACTATGCAGATACAAGCAGTTTTCTCCTCGTGTAAACGGCGCCTGGCGTTTTAGCGTATTATATATCTAAAACGTAACTACATTCGTTCAAGAAATGCAGAACAATATTTCTCTATAAAATATGGTGGAGTAAGTCACTGTATTATACTCACAAATAACTATACAACATGTTGTAATCATTTGTCCTGATCTTCTCTATAAATTGCGTTTTGAGAGAACAATAGATGAACAAATAATCTAATGGTCAATTTCTCTATTCAACACCTTTTTTCTAATTGTATTAATTAACTTGTATTTGTATGAGTTAACATACTTGGATGATAAATCTGATTCTTATTCAGATCTTATCTCCAGCATCACCCTCCTCGCCATTGATCCTATCATGATCAGCTGTTTTGCCTTGTCACTCACCATTTTCATAACCTTCCTCATCCTCATCTTCAGCTGCAGCACTTCAATCACCATATATCATTGTCATCACCATCTTCATCAGCATCTTCTTCTACATATATCACTTACCATTACTGCCCACTTATATAATGGCATAACCATTATAGGCAGCTTCATCCTTGTGTCCAACATTACTCTGACCATCATCATCATCCTCATCATCATGGTGTCTTTTAGTCTGTGTCGCCTATACATTGGTCTACAATATGAAGATAAGCCACCTAGCCTTAGTTGTATTGCATTTTCTCAAGATTAGCATCCCACAAAACTCTGGCAATTAATTTCTGGGAAGCAAACTAGGCGTCCGTTCCTCCCATTAAAACTCCCTCATTTTAACCCGGCTCAGCTCGGTGCTATTGAAAAGACGCAGAATAGGCCTGCCTTGATCTGCGTCAATTGTCAACCCGGAGCTCAGGGGCACTTCGGCGGTCAGTATAGCGGGCGAAGTCAGGGCTAATCCCTGGAAAAGAGGAGAATCACGGGAGAGGAGAAAAGCAACAATAACCAAGTCAAGCGTATAAAATGAAAGCGAAATCTCTATTATCACTCCCCGCAATTCCCAGCAAAATGGTGAAAATCAGGGTTAGTTTGTGATTCGAGTCAGACGCGGAGGGAAGAATATGGGGGTCCCTGCGGGTTGGGAGACTCACACGACGAAAAGGGCAATATTCTGGAGAAAGGGGGAAGAAGAAAGCCCCTCTCCCATCCCGACATAACCATTAAATGCAGTCTGACTTTATGTTGTATAGAGAGGGGGGAACAAGAAAGGAGGCACAGTTCTCCGATGAAAGAATGAGGTTTTTGGCGGATTAGGGACGGCCCGAAGGATGAAGAATAACTTCTGCATAACTTTACAGCTATTTTCTCTCCCCACGCCAAGAGCCAAGTTTAAGGCTGAACCGGTTTGAGTTAACCCCTTTGTGATTGTCCAGTTAAAGACTTTCACAGGGACGGAAAGGATTGAACTGACAGGTGCCCAAATTGGACGAACAATCTTTACCTTATATCTTATTATAGGTGCAGGGATGTTAAAATCACGTTTTAAGGGTTTAATAATACTCATACTACGAATGTAACATTACATCTTTAGTATTTACAATCTCATAATGTTATATATTATGTTTTGCAGGACTATACTTCTTCTGTAGCCTATATATACTTTAATATGATTTTGAATGCAGAACTTTTACTTCTCAGTGTTTTATGCTGTTATTTAAGTAAAGGATTAGCCTACTTCTTCTTTAAAGGACCTATAGGAGTTAATCTAAAGGCTTTTAGGTGCCTGAGGCTTTGTTCTGTGTTCTTTGTGTCCACATATACCTTCTTTTGACCAGTTTCTCCATCGCATGGTTATGCTGTATAGTGCGTAAAATCATGAAGAGCTTCGGAGTCTTGCCATCCCTCCTGAAGGGCTCTCATCAGCACCATCATCTAATTTATGGGCCTAATTAGTGATTTTTGTCCTCTTGGTTTTTCTATCTGTCTCATGCTAATGAAGGCATTTTCTGCCATCTGACAATAACGGTCATCTCAAGTAGTAATGATATGCCGATTTGTACTTAGTGCAGTGCTGATTAGCCTGCAGAGGAAGACATGCCAAACTTAGTGAATAATGTGATAAAGTGCATGCAGACCGAAACTCACCTTAGTCACAGCCTAACAATAACAGGAAAGACGTGTCCCTTTTTTATTTGTGAAACATTTAAAAAAGTGAAGGTGTAGAGTAGACAAGAGAACATAACTACACAACATGATGTTACAATATGAATCATAAAAGCAAGATCATAAAGGGTTTAAGTTGTAGTAAATGATTGTCTGTGAGTGCCAGAACATGATAAAGGAATGGGGAACATCTGAACAATTAGGTGAACTGTGGTCAGGAGAAGAAGAGTTAATGAGCTGCCATGTGCAGTGAGAGGAGCATAAGAGACAGGATCCATATTTAGCCCATATCATATGGAGTTCTACGCGGGCATCAGAATAGGCCGCTAATACCGCGCACATTCTCTCCCCCCTTATTTTCATTAGCTCTGATGACTGCGGAATTGATGCGGCCTGCAAGTTATCAAGAGCCACTAATTTCACATTAACGACCATTGACTGCGGTTGCTTGATTCGAGGGGGTTTGTGACAATTATCACAATCAGGATTGGAGCCCAAATCGTTTACCTTGACTCCGTGATTATTTTCTCCGAGCCGAGCGCCCATTGCAAAATTGTATGGTGTCAAAAACCCTTAAATAATGAGGAGACCAGGAGGAACGGCTATCTCTTTCAAGCACGCACGCACTTACATGCACGCACACTCACACTCCCCCTTACAACAACTGTGGGCAATGAACAATGGAAATAGCGTTTTACTTGAAATAGGATAGATAGATAGATAGATAGATAGATAGATGGATAGATATCAAAATGTATGGATTATTCCATTGATCTTTTTATAAAATAGGCCTATGACTCCTATACTGTATAGGCATTAATGTAGTTTAAATAATTATTATACTTATTATAATACTACGATCATTCATTTGTTTTTTATAAATAGTAATAATTTAAAAACATTTGTAAAAAAATTAAATATTATGATAATCATTGTAATTTTCATATTATTTACCACTAGAAGTTTTACTAAATTAGTCCCACTGTTTTGTTTCCCAGTCAAAAAGTCATATTTATTGTGTTATAGTATACACTTTAAAACATATATTTCATACTGTCACATTTCATAATGTTTGATCTGTAGTAGTAGCCTACATGTATATGAGTATCAGAATAACAATGAACGGTTTATGATGAGAAGTTATAGTACTGATCTGAGTCTGCGATGTACTCTCGCGAGATTACAGGCAGTCAGTGTCACATGATCACGTTGGGAGAAAACCAGGAAATCATGTGTTGTGTGTAGAGCAAGAAGAGGAACAGATGCTTTAATCCTTGTTTTCGATCATGTCTATTCACAAAAACGGTTCCTTTTGCTTATTTTAGTACTTCATATTTACGCTCTCGTGTCTGGTGATGGTGTAAACGTCACTGCTTCAGATTCAGCGGACACACTGACACAAAGCTCGCCTTACAGTCCTGCTCCTGCTGTTGTTTTGGTGAACTCGCCTGTGTTTAGGAAGCCGGATGTCGACTCTATTTTCTCCCTGAACCTGCTGTACTCCTTCCCAGAAGACGAGGAGATCTCTGCATACTGCAGCAAGCTGCTGCACACCTTCGGGCAGAAGTACGTCACCTATGTGAACTGCTCCGTGAACTCGGCCCGGCCTGTGAAAGTCTGCCAGAACTGTTACTCCAGCTATGGCAGCCTCACGGAGATCTACCTGGAAATCTCATCAGACCAGGTGTGTGCTCAGACGCAATGTCATTTTTCTGTGTTTTAGATTTCAGTAAACTGTCTGCCTGCACAAAGAGGACAGCAGGACTGGTGTGTGTGTGTGTGTGTGTGTGTGTGCGCAGTTGAGTCACGAGTCTTGTGATGTGTCTGACTGGTGGTGTCAAATTAGAGGAAACACCAGTTCATCTGCTTCACTTGCTATCAATAGAAAACTGAGAAAAACATTTTATTTGCTTTTATCAGGAATACAATCTTAACCTGGATGTTATATGTGGTGGAAGGAGTATTCATTCATTTACATTACATAGAAAGTAAATTTACTCAAGTACTGTACTTAAGTACTTATTTCTACCCACTACAATTCAGAGGTAAAGACTGTACTATTACTCCACTACATTTATTTAATACCTTTAGTTACTTTGCAGATTTGGATGTGAAATATAATCAACAGTTAAATGAGACTTTAGTTACACCTGGAGTAAATTCACAAGCTACCCTTCAGTATACATAGTCATTAAAACTAACTGCACCTTTACATTACATTACATGTCACTTGTTAGACGCTTTTATCTAAAGCGACTTGCATACTCAATACTGTGGGCAATCCCCACAGTAGCAATTTGGGGTGAAGTGTCTTGCTCAGGGACACAACGACATGCTGACTGCAATGGGGTTTGAACCTGTGCTCCCTTTAATGCATCAATCATTTTAATCAAAACATATAATATATATTATTCTGAAATGGGCCAGTCTACATAATGAGTACTTTTACTTTTGGTACTTTAAGTTCCTTTTGATGCCAATACTTTTCTTTTACTTGAGGATTTTGATTGCAGGACTTTAACTTTACTTATTCCTAAACTCTGGTACTTCTATCGATCTACCGAACACTCCATTACAAGTAAATATCCTGAACTTTGATTGTTACTAAAAATGAAGTACATAAGTATTATCAAAAACATATTTAAGGTAATGTATTTATGCAGAACGGCTCCTTACAAAGTGTTAAATTATTATAGATTATTGCAGTATTCAGTTGTTATTTGTACGTGATACTTTGTATACTACTGGGAAATTAAGTAGTTGAGTACTGCTGCTGCATCGTATCATATAATCATATCATGTTTTTAAAAGTAACACAGTGTAAACAAAAATAATTTGAGTAAATAATACAATATTTTTTGGGAAGAGTATGCGCCTAAAACTCTACCTAAATACAGGACTTGAGAAAATGTAATTAGTTACATTCCACTTGAATATGAACATTTTCTGTCCCGATTATCCTACAAAAAGTTACTGGGATTTGCAGTAATATTATGAAAATCATTCAATTATACTTAAAACTCTTTAAACAGCACTGAACTGTCAACATACATTGTAAAGGGGCCCTGGCATAAATAAATGAATACATTTTTAATAAAAGCAACATTTTGCAAGTTGTTACTGACTTTTAAAATTGGGCTCATTTTTTTTACTTTACTCTACGTGCTAGGCAGGTTTTTTAGGTCAGGAAACTCATGATGATCCCAATATTATACATTTACGATGATTCACTTAAAGGTCCCATGTCATGCTTTTCCGGTTGTTACCCGTCCTCTTGTGTGTTATGAAGGTTTTTCTGCATGTAAACGGTCTGCAGAGTCACAAACCTTCAAAGTACACCCTGTAGCGAGTAAAACTCTAACACAGAAAATACCTGTCTATGCTGCCCCAGAACGCCTCGTTGGAGATTTCTCTTTTTCTTCCTGGGTACAGTGACGTGCCCATACCCAAATGGACCCATTGGTCCAAATGGACCAAATGGACCAATCCATACCCAAATGGACCCATTGGTCCAAATGGACCAAATGGACCAATCCATACCCAAATGGACCCATTGGTCCAAATGGACCAATCCATACCCAAATGGACCCATTGGTCCAAATGGACCAAATGGACCAATCCGTGGAGCCGTTACTTTACGTCCGTGGAGACGTTACGTTAAGTCCGTGGATTGGTCCAAATTGACCAATCCACGGACTTCCTCACACACACACACACACACACACACACACACACACACACACACACACACACACACACACACACACACACTCTCTCACTCAATCTTTTCTCAGCTGCAGCTCCGCCGATTTCTCCTCCCTGAGACGGCGGGACGCGGCGAGGCTGTGAGTCGGTGTGTGAGCACACACACAAACTCCCAGCCAGGCTGTGTGTGTGTTCGGGCTGGGTTTTCGCTGTGTCTCGCTGTCTCACAGACGGCCACTGGGCTCAGTTGGAGGGGGGGGCAGGAGCTCCAACAAGCCGTTTAGGACAGAGAGAGAATACACATACTATACAGAGATGCTGTATGAGAAACCAATGCGATTTTGGAAAATTGCACAATATAAATCTATTCTAGTAGACCTCAACAATGGAATTATGATCAGTAGAAATGGCCATGACATGGGACCTTTAATGCGAGGGGTTCTTGGTGATAAAATCCAATGGTTCTTCCTCCCTGTACAGATCATTGAATGATGCAGTGTGTCTGTGTCCTCAGGTGGTTCCTGGCAAGGAGAGCTGCAGGGACAGCATTCTGCGCAACGATCGCCTGATGCTGGTTTATCTGCTCTACAACAACCTGAAAGACATCTGGGTCAAATCAGACTGTGCCAGTAGGTATTCTGCGTGGATTTAAACTGGACATGTCTGAAATGTTGGGGTTGGACTTGTGTAAATGTGAACATGTGCCTACGTTTGAACTTCTGATTCACACATATGGCGATGCATTTGACCACAGAGGTCAGAGTGCGGGGTCAAGTAGAGGCCGGGTTCAGTTGGTGTTTTTCTTAGCGTGCTTTAATTAAAGCGGACTGTGGTCACACTGGATGTTGCATCCAGAGATCAAACATGTGACTCGCTTTTTATTGGAGAGACCAATGGAAGCTGGATAATTGAATCAGATTTGGTAGATCTCCACACTGTTTTCTGTCAGTAGGATTCAATATGCATGTTGTTTTACATTAAGGACCATTATGTGATGACTGACTGTTGATCAATGAATTATTTATTTTGTCTTTAGGTTTAAAAAATGGCAGAAGAAAGTAAAATAATGTGCGATATATGTCCTAAAGCGCATGGTTAACCCATCAAAAGGCTCGTCCTTAGAAGAAAAAAATTCAGTTTACTATGAAACGCAACTAAAATGCAATAACTGTTGACAAATAAGAAGGTAAAACTTTAGGATCCCCATATGGAATCTTTTATTTTTTCCAAACATCTTTTGTATTTTTATAAAACCTGGTTCAGAGCTTGGAAAAAAAAGGGCTTGTTTTTTCTTCCTGTTGTGCAGACTGTGTCACTAAAGGATTCCACAGCCTCACCAACGACACGCTGTACTTCATGAGCTCCGTCAACCAAACTCTCACCTGCTTTGAGAAATACAAAGAGGTACGCCATATATAAGTGGATGAAATCTGTGTGTCCATCGTGAGTTTCTGTTCCGATGTTATTTATGATGTCTGTTCTTCACAGGGGAATCACACAGAGCTGTGCAAAAGCTGTAAGGACACCTACCGAGGCGTGAATGAGCTGTACAGCCGAATGGAGACCAACAAAATCATGTGTATTGACATAGAGGATGTGGTATGTATGTCAGGCATTTAAAGAAGTCCATATCGTTTGGAAGAGAGAAAGCTGCGCCCCCTACAGGAATTTGTCAGCACTAAAGGACCATTAAAGGGGTCTTTACTAACCTTCAGCTGGTGCCAGGGTAATCTATTCTGGATATGTTTGTCAAGCCTAAACCTAGTAACATTTTATTGAAAATGGAGGAAACAACAAATTCCGAAAGTATTTTAAAAGCCTTGGTTATGAAATGAGATGCTTTTTTAGTTTTGCCTTAAAATATCTCCTTTGTATTTCAGGGCATTGATCAAATAAACTTGTATCATGGTGTGAAAAAAAGCAGAACATTTGCAAATGGATCTGTGATTCAGGACCATAACCAGAAGTGGAAAAAGGCAAAAATAATCGTATAAAAAACGAGAAAAGGATGCTTGTTCGGATTAATGCTCCTGTTACCTCTCCCTCAGTGTCATCAGAGCAAGATATTGTCACACCCCTGAATGCGGTGAACATTTGAGCACAGGAAATCAACAGGGTCGTATTAACACTGTCCTATAATTGTGCTCAGCTGAAGTCTATGTTGAGTTTGGCACCTTGCCTCGTTTCAGATGAATGTGACTCGCAAACTGTGGAGTAAGGAGTACAATTGTTCGTTCCCCCGCGAGGAGACGGTGCCTGTCATCGCCGTGTCCAGCTTCATGCTCTTTCTGCCCATCATCTTCTACTTGAGCAGCTTCCTTCACTCGGAACAAAAGAAACGCAAGCTCATACACCGTGAGTAACCAGCTTAATTCGCCCATTGTCACACGGAGAGATTTTTCGACGGCGTTTTGAGGGGTTTGGGGTTTTTGTGGAGGGAGGAGGGGGCTGACTGACTGTGATATTGGGGTTTTGTGGGGATGGGGGGGGGGGGGGGGTGTTCTAGGTTGTTCTAAAGCATGGTGGGGTTGCCTCCTGCAAACCTCTGGATCATAGACGTGGTTGGACGATCTATTGTTGTGTGTGCTGCTGGATGATGGTTGCCTTGAAGGATCAGAGGTCGTTTACCCAGATTGGGGAGGGTGGGAACTTTTTTTGATGAGGGGGGGGGGGGGGGGGGGGGGGGGGGCTCTGACGGTCAAGGACACATTGGGCATCATTCAAGAACGACTCTTAAGAACACATTTCTTCTTAAGTAGCAAGATCTAGTGATTTAAGAGAACTGAGTTTGAATTTTTAATAACATTTCTTAGTGTTTCAGACCAGAGTCATCTACAGCACAGGTTCGAAATGTTCAGAGGGAATTGAATAAGAAAGACAAGAGACATGAATAAAACATATTTGCAGTCCAATAGTGAAATGTTGTTATTAAAAAACACATCCATGAACTTCTATACTTTTTTCTGTCCATTATTGAAAAAGATGAATGTATAAGCTCATGATGATTACAAATTAATTAATGAAAACATTTCCCACCCCCCTGGCAGTTTGCCGGGGCCCCCTGGGGGTCCCTGAACCTCGCTTTGGGAATCTGCCTTTCTCTTGCAGCAGGAAATACACTTTTTTTGTCTTGGGCATTATATTTCAGAATCCCAATCTATTTAGCTTTGAAATGTGTTTCAGAAAGAGGTGAACTAGAGATACTAAACTCAAATAAACGTAATACGATATTGATATTCTGTTAATCTTATCATAATTATTATGGCTCACAAGTGGGGTTTTCTCAGGGTCTTTATGCAGGTTGATGCTCTTTTGTGAAACCTTGCATTAGACTAATCCGAGAGCAAAATTAATATTAACTTGCTTTCGTCTTCTTTTTGTCAAAAGCAAGTCTCAAAGCCCTGTGGTGTGGAATTCTTCTTTTTACTCTTTGTTGACAATTTATTTGAATGAAATGTGCAAAAAAAACTGAGCAAAACCGTTTGTTTTATTTGGCAAATGATGAGTTATGTTTAGATGTATGAATACAAAGTGACAATGTTTGTAACAAGGTTGCATGAGGACCATGGATTTGTCTGTGGTCGTATCATCTTCATTATCTCCTTCAGGTTGTGCATTTATAATGACCATTTTGACTTGTCTATAATAATAATAATAATAATAATAATAATGACTATTTTACTTTTAATTTCTAGAATAACACAACATACGACAGCAAAAGTTGTTTAACTCCTAAAATGGTACTTTGGTTGTTGGATTAATTTAAGTTTTGTGTCTTCACAGCCAAACGGGCGAGGTCATACAACACTCTGATGAACATTCAGGACAAACTGAGCTGAAGAGGAGACGGGTGAATAAAAGGAAGGACAGCACTCTTTTATCAGAAGTAACATCCTGGGAGAAGATTTGACTCCTTTCCGTCTTGAAACTGAGGTTTGAATGTAGAGGACTCGACAACAGCATTCCCCGTTTGTTTGTTTGTTTTCACAAGAGGCTGTGATACCCATCAGTATTCAGAGGACTTCAAGGATCTGCATAATTAAAGTGAAAGTAAAATGCTTTGAGCACTTTGAACATTTGCTTTTATACCGTTAAAATATTCTTCTCAAAGTGAAGTAAATGCAGAATTGAAATTGTATACCTTTTTATTATGCAGGCTCTGTGTTTAAATCCAAGTGTATGAATACCTTTTATACACTCCTAATTAGGTGGTGGTTAATGTTGCTGCACAGATCCTCTCCTTTCTTTCAAACAGTCTTCACGTTTTGAAGCACATCCTGCAGCGAGAGACACAGCTGTCACTAAAAAGAGTGAGCGGCTTGAATGCAGTGTGTGTGTGCGTGTGTGTGTGTGCGTGTGTGTGTTCAAGCGAGCTACCAGGAAATATGCGCACTATTTAAGGGTTGAGAAATGGGGTTTCTGTCTCTAATGTATGTCCAGAAGTGAGCAGCAAAAAAGGAAGCACTTGATGTCCATTAGTGGTGACATGTATCTGCTGTAAGAAGGGGGGGTGCACATCAGTGGGGTGGGAGTAAATAGAGACCTAACACACATAATGTAAGAGCACTCCAGAGGACCACACTGTGATGTTACCTGGTTTCCAGTCACTGTTTTTCTTTTTGGTTGCATAAAGCTTTTAATGTGCTTTGTTGTCGTTTCCCACTGATGTTTAACTTAATTTGTTAAGAGGTTTCTGACCGCTCATGACGGTGAACTCTCATTTATGGAATCAGTAAAAAATGCATTTGCTTTGAAGTAATGTAAACTTTCATTTGTAATGCATAAGCCTGAATAAATACTTTCACGTCAGAGACAACCTGCAAAATGATGTGCTGTGATTTAACCACGGACAGTTTTATGCTGATGATCATTTAGTTTAATCTGAGTTGTAGTAAGTGACCTTATTTACTGGTGGACAATACTGAGGCACATTATTACCTCAAAATGTACATTTTAAACAACTTTAAAGGTAATTAATTAACATTAAAGGTAGGGTAGGTAAGTTTGAGAAACCGGCTCGAGATCGCTAGAATTTGAAAATACACAACTGGAGAAAATCTGCCACTTCCTTATAGAGCCCCTCCTCCAACACACACGAACGCGCACATGACCAATGAGGGCACGAGATAAGTTTGTGCCCCGATGGAAGGCTGACAGGCAGGTAGGCCATCCAGTTATTTTAGCCGGGCCGACTAAAATGATTGGTCGTGCTTTTTACAGCGCCACGGCTTCCACAGATTACATTTTTTAATGGATTTTTTGTCAAAGCACTTAAGATATTCATTGCTATCGGGATGTTAAGAGCATTCCATGGAATATAACAAAAAGTGTATCTCGAGCCGGTTTCTCAAACTTACCTACCCCACCTTTAATATCTTCAAAATGAGTAGCTTTACTTTGAATATTTAAACTTATTTTGACCAAAATGACCTCTAATTGAATGCAGATCTTGAACCTGTGCTTTATTTTGTTGTTTTGGTAAACACATAACAGTGACTGCAATTCTTTTACTTCTAATGAGCCCATGTTGTATTGTGGCTAAATCTGTTTCTTCACACAGTAATGACCCTTGTTCTCAGGTTACAGGGCCTTGTGTTTCTTGCAACGCGGCTTTTCCTCCATCATTAGCAGCTAATCTAGATGTGGGATAAAGATACTTGGCCGAATAATCGCAGCAACACATCCGTTAAACTCCTTTGGCTTTTTGGTCTTGTGGAGTGCGGCCCATCAGCAGGTCTAAGAGCCTTAGGATATGCCCAGTCATATGATCCTGATGCTACAAACACACAGCGAGGTGCAGAGGTGGGAAGTAACTCAGTACATTTACTCAAGTACTGTCTTTAAGTTCAATGTTTTGAAATACTGTACTTGTGTATTTCCATTGTTGTACTTCTAATTCAGAGGTAAATCGTGTACTTTTACGTCGTTACATTTACTTTGTACCTTTAGTTACTTTACAGATTTTGTTTAATGTTGTTAAATATAATCAACACTTAAATATGACCTAGAGTAAATTCACAAGCTACCTTGCAGAATACAAAGTAAGGTAAGTTTATTTATATAGCACCTTTCAAGGCAATTCAAAGTAGATAACATCTGCACCTTTGATGAACCCTTAAATGCATCAATAATTATGATCAAAACATACAATATATATTATTCGGAAATGGGCTTATTAGCATAATAAGTACTTTCACTTTTGGTACTTTAACTATATTGTAATGCTAATACTTTTCTACTTTTACTTGAGGAACATTTGGAATGCAGGATTTTTACTGTAACAGAGTATTCCTTCACTCTGGTACTTCTACTTTTACTCAAGTACCATATCTGAGTACTTCTCCTATACCTCTGGTGAAGTGTTGAGGGACCCGGAGCTCCAGAATGACAGCTTTGATTCCCGATAAGCCTCGCTGCTTTCCCTCGAGCTCACCGGGACCTTAAGCGGGGCTGAAAGTCAGGAAAACCTCCCGGAGAAATGGAGCGCACCCCGCCACGTGAACAGCAGAACGGATGGAAAAGCTGCAGCCCCCCCCCCCCCCCCCCCCCCCCCCCCCCGTGATTCAGCCATTTACAGTCAGAGTAGTAATGTCACCATCTAAAAATACCATAACCCAAGTAAAAGCGAGTCCTTATGTAGTGACTGAACATGTTAACCTACAAAATGTAAATGGTTCTTATTGAGAATGGCTCCATTCAGTCTGCATTATTAGGCTACTGTATTATTGGATTATCATTACAGATCCACAGATTTAATAATGTAGATGGAGCTTATTTGATCCCCAACACCAGTTAGCTTTTTGTGACCAACATTATATTAGATTGGTCTTTGTTTGGTTATGTGAAGAGTTTGACACTATATGATGTGGAAACTTTAATATAGATGTGGGAGACATATTTTGACTACAAGTTAATGGTTAGAAATAAGGAATATTTGTTTATTCAGATTAAGATTGAGCAATTACTGACCATTTGTATATGGACGTTTAGTAGCTTTAACAGGGCAATTTATTGTTTTTGTGGAGAGCAGAAATAACACAATCACCTTAAAACAGAGTACTTTTTCATTTTGAATACTTCACTACATTTCAGGTCAGTGCTGGAGAAAGTATTAAGATACTTTATTAGTAAAAGTGTCAATATCCAACAAGTACAAATATTATACACTTTTATGTGTGAGATGATGAAAAGAAAAAGAGTACACATTTTCCCTCTGCAGAAGTATAGAGTATCATCATGTAGATTTCAGGTACCTTCAAACTGTGATTGTTCTTGAGTAAATTGTTATTTTCACTCTCACTTAGATCCATGTATTAACCTCTCATCACTCCATGTATTAACCTATCTTCACCCTAATGAAGAATGACGTTGGCTCACAGTATGGCATTAGCGGACAGGCAGCTGACTGACGTGTATGCAGATAATTTAGTCCTATGAAACAAATGAACACATTTCAATCCATGCATTTCTTTAAATGTTCTCCTGCCGACTGCAAAGATGAGCAACAGGTTGGCGATGTGAAGTGCCTCATGAGAATGTTTTAGTCGTACTCTGGATTTTGATCTATCATCTATTGAATTGTTAGCCTCACATGTCACAAAATGACAGTATTTCTCTGGATGTTTGCGTTCTAACCAGCTTAATGTTCTTATCTTTTTCCTTCATAGAGAGAGACAAGGATCTTTTAGTGAGCTGCAAGAAGAACATGTTTCTTTTCAAGTGCTTAAGAATTGTGCTTTTTTTCTTCCACAGTTTCTGATACAATGCAAAGGCAGCTGTTTTACCCTTTCACTAAACTGACTGAACTCTGGCAAAAAACAAAACAAAATCCACCAGTAATCACGGCCTAATGCCTGCATAATTATTGTACACCTAATCCACCCACAAAGAGCTTTGATAAGAAACAATGACTGTGAGAATAATAAATCTCTGTAAGTGTTACAGTTTATACGGAAGAAATGAATTTGATTTATGTAAACTGACTCGCATCCTGATCTGGACTGCCTGCATGCTCTCGCCCCCTGTGCTGAGGTTTCTGTAAGATAAGGATAAGATCAAAAAACAGAATATATATTGACTTTTAGATACTAAGGTTTGTACACACTCACAAAATAAAGGATTCTGGACGTTAATTCATATCAATTCAATATGGTTGATTCATAGATTTGAATCTTTAATTCTGATTCTGAAAAAAGCCTGTCATTTTTATGCAATAGTCCGAATTACAACAATATAGCCTTTAGGACATCAGTGCTCAGGGAAGTACATCGCCACTGTGATTTGGTTGTAAATGCACACTTTATTTTATCTTACAGACTTGTACAAATCTAAATTACAGTTTTAATAAATGTAGCTTTTTATTCATTATATTTTCTATTAAGGGATCATCTACTAAGAACTTCTCAGATTGATCACATTTTAGTTAAAATCTTTGTATTTTGTACCTAACGATTAATTCTTCGACACGCTTTTTTACCAAATTGCAAAACACATCGCTTGATTGCTCTCATTTTGATAAATCCAGGCTTTAAATTGTGCAACTCTTCATTCTTTGTCTTGCTCTCGGTAATGTGTGAACGTTAGTTGACTTCTGTAAAGCTGAGGAGGAATAAAGCAGGCATGTTATATATATCCTTTATTCAACCAGGTAAAGATAAAGGATATATATCTTATCTAAAGCTAGTTGAGTAGCACTTAACATGTTTTGGCTCTATGAAACCTGATGTACTTATATGATTCTGTTTTCTTAAAGTTTGTATCTTCCTGGTCGAATGCACTTATTGTAAGTCGCTTTGGATAAAAGCATCAGCTAAATGTAATGTAATGTAATGTAATGTAATGTAATGCAATGCAATGTAATGTAATGTAATATAATGTAATGTAATGTAATGTAATATATAACATGTTGAAGCATGACGGCTGAACTGAGGATTGTTGAGTGGATAAATGATGAAACCTCAGACCCTGTCTTATAAGAATGAAAAAACAATAAGAGACTGGCAACAAAGACCCTTGAGTTTATTTCATTTACAACATTATGAACACATAATACATTTGATTATTTTTTCCTGTAATATCCTCTTCTTCTGCATAATGTTTCCCTCACTCTTTCTCCTCATTTAAAAGGTACAAATCGTGCAGCTTAACATTTACAGCCAACATGGTTACGATGGAAAATAAACTGTTTGCAAAAAAGAAGCTCCAGCAGATGGCAAAAACATGCAGTACTTCTCTTTGCCAGGTTACCTTGAGACAAGGCCAGTACACATGTCATATTTGAAAGAAGAGTAAGAGGATGCTCTTTGTGTTGTTTCTGAATTTGGTCTTTCCTCTTCGATTTATTAAATCTAATTCTTGTCAAATGACTGTTTTTTGTTCTTTGACAAGGTCACAGCCTCCTCTAGACTAAATGCCTCTGTATTCTCTGCTATCCTCCACTCTGCTTCATTCTCCTCAGTGCATCCCATGATACAAATCATTGCATGTCTCCTTCGTTAGTGCAATATTAAGAAACTGTTAGTCAGGACTTAAGTTGTTACGCAAGCCCTCCCCACCACCACTATAAGCTGTCAGTTAGTTAACTGGCTGAAGGTCAGGCTTAGATTATGCACCTCTCAACCCCTGTGCAATGAATATGATGCTTTGTTGAAGAAGGAGTAAACATATGCCCCTGGGGGTAGGAATTAGCAGACACACACACATGCACCCTCTCTCACAGAGCATATGCAGAGTGAATGGGGCTTATTATACACCTGCGAGTGGGGTCAAAGTCTGTCAATCCCTAGCTTATGGTATTATAATAGATTATAGAAT